TTTTTATTGAAGCTATTAGGATTGTTTTAGAAATTGTTTATGATGATCGTTTTGTCACGTTTTCTTATGGTGGACGTGTTAATATGGGGCGGCATACGGCTATAAGGTACCTAAAGAATTCAGTGAATAATCCAAGTTGGTGGTTTAGTGTTTGTTTTAATGATGTTAAGTTTGATAAAACAAAAGTAGATAAGCTGTGCTTGTTTATAGAGGAGAAAATTAAAGATGGGATTTTGATTGATGTGATAAAGAGGTTGTTTGATTGTGGTGTGCTGAGGATTGAATTAGGTAGGTGTTATTTAGGGAAAGGGTTGCCTCAAGAATGCGGGTTGTGTTCAATATTGATTAATGTTTATTTCAATGGATTTGATAGAGAAATTCAAGAGATGCGTTTAAGAATGAGTAAAGAGAATCCTAAACTCGATCAGAATGAGATCAGTGAAGGGTCTAGTTCTTCTTATAAGCCGCTAAAGATGCATGCTGTTAGGTACTTGGATGAGATATTAGTGATTACGTCAGGTTCAAAGATGTTGACGATGAATCTGAAGAAATGGGTTTTGAATTTTCTGGAAGGCGAATTGGAGTTGAATGTGGATAGAGTAAAGACAGCTATTCATAGTGCGGTTTCTGAGAAAATTGATTTCCTAGGGATGGAATTGCAGGCTGTCCCACCATCAGTCTTGCATCCACCAATGTCGGAGAAAGCCATTAGAGCAAGAAAAAAATATCTTAGACAGAAGGAAGTTAAGGCTTTGGAATTGAAAAATGCTCGGGAGAGGAACAGGAAGAAACTGGGTTTGAAATTATTGAGTCATGTTTTTAAAAAGTCGAAGCAGAGTGACTGGCTCAAACTTGATTTTCAAATTGAGAATGAAGTTCGAGAAATCTTTCAAACTTGGGCAGATGAAGTGGTTCAAGATTTTTTAGGCTCCCTTGAAGAACGTTGGACATGGCATCGAATGCTCACTGCTGGTGATTTCCTCTCCCTGAGGCACATCAGAGACCAATTGCCACAAGAGCTGGTCGATTCTTATGACAAGTTCCAAGAGCAGGTAGACAAGCATCTGTCACCAATCAAGGCTAGAAAGGCACTGGAGGAAGAAGGAAGGAGAATCAAGGAAGAGGAGGAAAGGAAGTATGCTGAGAGAACCGTGGATGATCTGACAAAACTGTGCATGAAAGTCTCTGCACCTATTGAACTTGTAAGGAAGGCTGTTAAGATGGCTGGGTTTACGAATAAAATGGGTCGTCCCCGGCCTATCAGCATTCTCACTTCTCTGGAAGATGCTGATATTATCAAGTGGTATGCAGGGGTAGGGAGAAGATGGCTTGATTTCTTTTGCTGCTGCCACAACTTGAAGATGGTGAAGACTGTTGTAAGTTATCATCTGAGGTTCTCTTGTATTTTGACTTTGGCAGAAAAGCATGAAGCAACAAAAATTGAATGCATTAGGCATTACACTAAAGATTTGAAAGTCCCAGATATGAATGGAAGTGAACAGGTTCACTTCCCCACAGAAAAGGAGGTAAAGATGATGGGGGATAAAAATCTTTCAGATCCAAAACCTGTAGATGGGGCTTTATCTTTGTTACTGATCAGACTGGCTTCTGATGAGCCATCACATTCCTGTGTCGGTCATTTTTGTGACAAAACTGATATTGTTATGTATCGAGTGCGGTTGCTGCAGAACATTTTAAATGTGAACCCGGCCGATGAAGACAAGTGGGCTCCAAGGATGAGTGCAATTCATGAAAGTCTGAATCAGATGTGTCTCCCTCTTTGTTCTGATCACAAAAGTGACTTGTATACTGGGAAAATCACCCTACAGGATATTGACTGCACTTCATATGTGAATGTTGACTGAATATTGCGGTGGTAGCATTGCGTTGGCGTTGGTTATCAAGGCTACGTACTTTAGTAGCCTGCATCAATCTGGTCCTTCTCTGTCTTCCAAACACAAGTGCTGCCATGCAGTTTCTCCACACATTGTTTTCACCGAGATTGATTTATACAATGAAAACGATGGTTCTCCTGATCCCAATCATAATATTTCCTAAGTACATGAATAAACAATCCGAGGTACTTCCCCTTGTTGGTTTCAGTTGAAAACTTGATCACCAATTGAACAGACTGCTGGAAACTCCCTAAACATGACTTACCTAATGGTTTCAGTTTCCCTGGCCCTGACTAACTCCTAGGACGAACCATATTTGACACCATTCCATTCCCAGCCTTCATTTGATTCCACCAATGGGAGCGTTTTCATGTAAAATTCCTTTGTCAACTACGTCAAAATCTATGTAGATGAGACCAATGAAATTGGTCGGCATTATGTTTTTCAGACAATTAAATCAGTCAGTTTTGTTAGCTCAGGTGGTTTGGTTGGCCCTAAATTTGTGACTGGAAACTCTTTATCACAAAAGCAGTGTTACCTTAGTGGCTTACTGTTGCGCTGTACTTGAGCTTTTGGCAGGTGTCTCTTGGAAATTCAAACAATTTATATAAACAGATAGTTGTTTGTCAATGGTGCAGTGAGAGATTTCTCAATCAATAATCTTTCTCCACTCTCTACAATTCCTTCGCATTTCCATCGCTTATTACATTTTCCCTGGTCTTCCCTTACCTCTAAACTCCCTTCTCTACTTCCCTCCCATCATCACCTATAAAAAAACCCACCATTTGCTTCTCTTCTTCTCCTTTACTTCTAAATTCATGTAAAGACCTGAAAACTCTAAAGAAGATCCATGCTTTTGTCATTATCGCAACTGGGGCCAATCAATCCATCTCCTTTGCTTCAAAGTTCACATCTCTACATATATTTTAATGATCTTCAAAGTGCCGTGTCAGTGTTCAAAACTTTACGAGAAGAACCCAATACTCTAACATGGAATTTGATCATAGAATCCCATGTTGATTTTGGTCTTTATAGGAAGCTTCGTTGTTATACAAGAAAATGAGAGAATTGATTATTAAAGTTGATAGCTTTACATTTCCCATTAGTAAATAGAGCTTTTTGACCACTTAAGATGATTGTTATGTTTCAGGGGTGTTGTTCATGCGAGGGTTTGATTGAACGGACGCAACCTCATTGTTTTGTGATAAAGAACGGATTATTAGTTGATGTTTCTGTGCAGAACTCAATCTCGAGATTTATAACTAACTAGGTGGTGTTGAAGAAGTTGAAATTTCTCTCAGTGAAATTGACAGCAAGGATGTTGTTTCTTGGAATGCTTTGATTGCCTCCTATTCCTTGAGTGGGGACATCGGAAAAGAGCAGGGTGAAGTGAGACTTTAACTTTTATTGCATCCGTGTTTGCAAAGATGGGAAATCTACTGGAAGGTGAAAGCTGCATTCTTTTTCTCTAAAAGCTGGGCTGTGTGATGGTATTTTGCTGACTTCTTTCATGGATTTGTATGCTAAGTGTGGGGAACTGAGAAACTCTGTCAGTTGCTTGGAGAGATCTCTTGTAGAAGCTGTATTACTTGGAATGCTACCAGTCAGTCAGGGTTCATTCAAGGTAGGACTTATGTATGTGGAGGCCATTGAATTGTTCCTGCAGATGCTAGATTCAGGTCTTAAACCAGGAGCTGAGATTCAAGGCCGTCTTCTGGATGCATGTACGCGTCTGGGTGCACTACAAATTGGGTGAAGGAATCCTTGACGACCTCAGACGGAGCTTGTTTCACCTTCCTGAAGAATATGCAATATGCACTCAGGAGCCTCTATCCTTAACATTTACATACAATGTGGAAACATCAATGATCGAGGGGTTTGGAATCCATGGGATTGGTGATGAAGCTGTAAAACATTTCGATAAGGTGGGGGGAGGAATAGAGCCTAACAGCGTGTAACCTTCTTAGGCCTGCTGAAAGTTTTCTTTATTTAAAACTTGTTGGTTTGGTGGGAATTATTTGCTTTTGAAAAGTGTTTTTATTTTTTTTATTTTTTTAAAATTAAATTATTTTTTGATGTTGGGTAATATTATAAAAATAATAAGTTGTTAATTAATTTTTTTAAAAATTAAATTATAAAATATTTTTTGTTAATTAATTATTTTAATAATTAATTAATAAATAAATTAAAAATTAATTTTTTAAAAACCACATTTGTTGAAATAAACAGTAGCTTAGCTAAAATCGCAGGGCCATGGAAGATTTACGGTGGCATCTCTTTGGAAGGAATTTGCGAGAGTTAATGAACATATTCCAATTCAATGGAATCTTTTTAAGTGTCAATAACATTAAACGGTTGGAACTGTAGTATTGTTTAATATTGATTACATTTAGGAAAAATTGACAAAAATTAGAGCTTTAGATTTTTTTAAAATGTTATTAATACAATTGCCATCTAATTTAGATCAAATTCAAATTAAACCATGTAAAAATTTAATTCTATTATTTTTTTAAATATTATAATTTTAACTTTAAAAATATTAAAATAAAATTGTTTTATATATACTTGATTAATTAACTCTTTCCATAATGTAGATTTTTAGTTTACATATTGAAAATAAAATCTAATTTGTATTTTTTAAAAAATAAATTTTTTTTTTATAAAAAACTTATTTTTTATATTTTTAAATTATTTTAATATGCTGATGTTAAGAATAATTTTTTAAAAAATAAAAAAATTATTTTAAATTATTTTAAAATAAAAAATACTTTACACTATAATTATAATTACAAGCACAATTCTAAACAAATTCATTGTTTAAAGGCTAGTTTCGGTAGCAGGAATTTAGTTCAGTACCCAAAAACTGACTTAAAATATATTATGTTTTTAAAAAATATTTTTTTAATTAAAAATGTATCATAGTAATGTTTTTTCAGTTTTCTTTAATACTGATATGTTAAAATCTTCTTGAAATATAAAAATATTAATTTAATATTTTTTACTAAAAATAATTTAAAAATACATATAATAACACAAACACTAAAAAGTCACGTACATGCCATGTGCCGACTAAACAATGTCGGTGATAATAACTAAACAAACTAAAACCAAAATTAAGGAGATTAGCCAATGATCTCTCTCTTTCTCTCTAGCTCGCAACACAACACCACACTTATTGTATCTTAGATTTGTGTCTAATACAACTCAAAGAGGAGATCTTTCTCCAAATCTGCAAATGCCAATTTAGTTCCTTTGCTTCCTTCAAATCGTAGAAGCAAAACCCAGTTTGTATTTCAAGAGATAGAGACAGAGAGATGGGAGGGTACTCATGGGGGTCAGCCTTTGATTCAAAATCAGGGCAGATGATAATGGTGGCTTTGTTATTAATGGTGGGTTCATTTTACACTGGCACTCTTTTTGGCAATAACAATGCCTCCATTTATGTCTCTCAACTCTCCTCCTCCTCTAATTCCTCTTCATCTTATGTTATGTTCTCTCTCTCTCTCTCTCTCTCTCTCTTGTAAAGTTTTATTTTATAGTGATGCTTATGCAATCTGCTGCATTGCATGGTGCTTTTGGAGATGGATTTTGTTCTGTGGACTGTAAAATTGGTTGCTTTTTTATACACTGGTCCCATTTTGGTATTTTGCTTTGAGCTTAAGTTTTGTGGGTTCTTCTTTCTTGCTGTTATTTTCGGGTTGTAATTGTGTTTTTCGTTATTTAATTGCTGTTCGAGTTTGCAAGAATTCAACTTGGTGGGTTTTGGATGGACCCATTTGGAAAATTTTTAGCCTATTTGGTTGAGAATTGTTAGTGCCTTGCTTTGATGACTAATGTTTTGCTAATAAGTCCTGTAAGGTAGTAGCAATTAGAAAAGGTAATAGAGAGGTCATAAATTGCAAGATGACATTTAAGGCCACACAACATGTAGATTTAGATACTCTGAATATGGAAATGATCCCATTTTCTTTGTTTACAGAAGCATATTGATTCATATCCTGGCAACTCTTACCTTTTATCACCAGTGAGATTGGAGGGTTAGATTGGTTATTAAGCAATGAATTGACAGATCACCATGCGAATCTATTGAATTGCCAGATTGGTTAATAGCGTACTGTAATGTTAAATTGCAGACATTCTAAGTTTCTGACATATTGACAGAAAATAGACCTGGATGTGGCATATTTCAGTGGGGGGTCAAAGAAGGAAATACTCACCACCACTACAAGGGACCAATCTTAGGGTGCAGCTGTGTAATTCTTTTATCTGCATCAAGCATATTTTCTAGTCGCATGCAATGTGCTATTTATCAAAAGGAAGTCTCAGGGAGTACTCGTTGCATTGTTCATGTGTGGACGTGTTTTTGGGATCTAGTCGATGCTGCATTTGAGATTGACATTTTATACTTTTACATTCCAGATTTGCAACAACCACGGGTCAGATTAGATGTTAAAACAATTCTTTAGACCTGGAATATCAAAGCTCATGCAATAAAAAAAGTGATTATATGACCATGAACGTGCACAAATTGTTCTGTTTCCTTCCTCAAACTATAGTTTAATTCGCTTCAGCCATTGGTATGTCGGTAATGACTGCATATGAAACTTTGCACTTTTGGTCTGCTACCAAGTTTAACAACTATATCTTCTACACTTGCAGGTATTTACACATTCACCAACAAAGTTGCTCTTGCTTATCGACAAACACCAATTGTAATCCCAGAAAGTGGGATGAATGTATGCCCTTTGAAGTTCAATGAGTATATCCCTTGCCATGATGTTGCTTATGTGAAAACTTTGTTCCCGTCCTTGGATCTTTCTAGAAGAGAAGAGCTAGAGAGGCATTGTCCTCCACTTGAGAAGCGTTTGTTTTGCCTGGTGCCACTTCCAGAAGATTATAAATTGCCCATAAAATGGCCAACCAGCTGGGATTATATGTGGAGAAGCAATGTGAATCATACACATCTTGCTGAAGTCAAAGGAGGACAGAACTGGGTGCATGAGAAAGATCAACTATGGTGGTTCCCTGGTGGTGGCACTCATTTCAAGCATGGAGCAGCTGATTACATTGAGAGGTAGATGAACATAAGCTTCTTATATCACTTATTCACATTCAAACTAGTTAATTTATCATTTCCTACAATTGCAGGTTAGGAAATATGATAACTGATGATACAGGTGATCTGCATTCAGCCGGGGTTGTTCAAGTTCTGGATGTTGGCTGTGGTGTTGCTAGCTTCTCAGCTTATCTTCTTCCTTTGGATATACAAACAATGTCTTTTGCTCCCAGAGATGGTCATGAAAATCAGATTCAGTTTGCTTTAGAACGAGGAATTGGTGCCATGACTGCTGCCATTTCCACAAAACAGCTACCATATCCCTCTAGCTCTTTCGAGATGGTTCATTGTTCGAGGTGTCGTGTTGACTGGCATGAGAATGGTATGGCGCTTGAGCAGTGGCATTTGAAAATTGTTCATAGGGAGAAACACATGTTTCAGATAAATGCTTCATGCTCTTCATGCATTTTGCTGCAATCCTTTTATCCAATTGAAATGATATAGTCAGCCAAAAGAAGTGATTTCTGATTTCTTAAATTTTTCTAATGGCATATAGTAACTAACACAAAGGAACAATAGTAAATCATACTTGGAACTACAAATGCATCTCTATGCAAGTTTATTATTCATAATTCATAGCATTGCTTTTATGCATGCCAGCAGATTGCTGTATATATGACTTCATCAGCTATCTTCGCAACCAAACAAGCTTTTAAATTAGTTTAGTGAAAGTGCACCACGAAGTTTTACATGCAGATGCTACCCTGATATGTGTTGATAAAGATAGTTATGGTCTAGCAAGTATATGAATTGTTGTTCATTGTGTTTGCAGGCTCCTGGACATTTTTTTCCCCAAGATTTCTGAGTTTAAAAAAAGGCTGTTTAACTTATGTTTGGATTTTACATCTATTCCTATAATTCATTGGGCTTTTATTTCATCGCAATATTTATTTTTAGTGCAGGTGGTATTTTAATCAAAGAAGTTAATCGTCTTTTGCGAGATAATGGATATTTTGTCTATTCGGCTCCTCCTGCTTATAGAAAGGATAAAGATTATCCATTGATTTGGGATAAGTTGGTAAATCTGACTTCTGCTATGTGCTGGAAACTCGTTGCTCGAAAAGTTCAAACCGCAATTTGGGTGAAACAAGAAAATGAGTCATGCCTCCTGCACAATGCAGAGGTGAAGCAAATAAACATATGTGACACTGTGGATGACATGAAACCATCTTGGAAAACACCACTGAGGAACTGCATACCAAGAAGAAGTGCACAAACTAATCCTCAGAAACTGCCTCCCAGACCAGACCGTCTCTCTGTATATTCAAAGAGTCTCAGCAAAATTGGTGCGCTCATGTGCTTTTTATGAGCTTAAAATAACTGAAAGTTGTGTTTGTCCATCCCTGCTTTTCCTGATCCCTGGTCATGCCTGAGTATGGTATCTTTTTCAAATTTGCATTCTATATTAGCTTTTAGTTTCAAAATCAAGTACACTGCAAGTGTATTCAAACTGCATTATGATGAGCACAATGGAAGATATAGATATCAATATCAAGTACATTTTATAGTTTCAAGTAGTTGGAAGCAGCTTGTGGGCCAGCTGGCTAGGATTGCCTGTGCTTTTCTGTCATCAAAATCACCGGGACAGGGTTCTTGTGGGAATTTCAGATGAATGACTAGCATTTAACCTTGTCATTTGTAGTCTATCTCTTTGATTACTTGGAAAATGCATAAGCCATGTTAAATATTCAATCTGACATGATAGTTTCTGCACATTTTTGTTGCAGGTATCACTGAAGAAGAGTTTTCTTCAGATGCTATATTCTGGAAAAATCAAGCTGGCCATTACTGGAAGCTGATGAATATCAATGAGACGGATATAAGAAATGTCATGGACATGAATGCTTTTATTGGCGGATTTGCTGTTGCTTTGAACTCACTGCCTGTTTGGGTGATGAATATAGTTCCCGTGAGCATGAATAATACCTTGTCAGCTATTTATGATAGGGGTCTCATAGGAGCTTTTCATGACTGGTAAGAGATTTTCAATCAATTCAGTTGCGCTCTAGCTATATATTATATTGGTGCAAGGATCTGTAATATGCTAGTTTTCTTACCACACGTGTTTTAACTTCAGGTGTGAGCCATTCTCAACATATCCACGAACATATGATCTATTGCATGCCAACCATCTCTTCACACACTACAAAGACCATGGAGAAGGTTGCCTGCTAGAGGATATCATGCTGGAGATGGACCGTATTATCCGACCTCAGGTAACTGTTTCTAAAATATCCCATCTATCAAAGTCTTAAAAATCAGAGAAGTTATATGGTGAATGCGAGGATGAAGAATGAGATGGATGGGATTTAAGCAACTGCATGTAAAGCTATGCCCAGCCTCTCTGAATTATATTAGACATCATATGCTCGTTACACTAGCACATTATTTGCATTACCTCTGGGCCATTTTGTTTCATGGATGCATGATAAAGCTAGCATGGAGTTAATGTTCAAGTCCCTTGGAATCTATTGCCATCTAGATCTGAGAGAATATATAAGATACTGATTATCTGATCTTGTTACTTAATATGGTTTTATCCATACCAACCATTCTACGGACTGTAGCCTGACATTTAAAATCATTTACGCTTTTGCGTCTGTATCCCACATTACATTTGATTCAGAATCTTACCAAGACTATAATGTGCAGGGATTTATTATCATCAGAGATGAGGAATCGATTACATCAAGAGTCCAGCATTTAGCTCCAAAGTTTCTGTGGGAGGTCGAATCACATGTTCTGGAAAACAAAGAAAAGAAGACTGAAGCTGTACTAATATGCAGAAAGAAGTTCTGGGCATTGGTATAAGGTGTACTTTTTACAGTCTTTTTTTCATTTTACCCTTTGTATCTTGCATTTGCTCATCAGCTCATGCACCTTGTAGAATGTAAAGAGGTCATCAGCTTGTAGTAAATGATCATTTACTTTGTGGTTAATTCATTTCTGCATGTTTGTTGTTCACCTATATAACACGCGCGCGCGCACACACGCATGTTTGTTGTTCACCTATATAACACGCCCGCGCGCACACACCACACACACACACACACACACGTGGATATAAGACCATAGAAATTAGATTTTACTCCATATTTCTTAGAAAACAAAATGGTGCCAGCCTCCCAAGAACTATCCATTCCCCGGCATGGGCATATTTTGTCGTTTTCGTTTTCATGGTATTCGTGCTCGGTCAATGCATATTCAGGTTCATTCTTTGCTTAAGCAGAGCCCATTTACCTCCTCAGCCGACAACTCAAAGATTGCATTAAATTTAAAAACCTTATTCATACTTGCAAAAATGTTGCCATTGAAACATCTTGGGGGATGTTCAAGCTTTGAAGCTATATTCGAGCATGGATGGGCTCTAACCAGGCCTTCTCTTGCCATCTACACCTCCGAGTGCGATTTGTAATGGGCTAAATCAACCTTTTTCAGACAATCCCAATTGATCGTTGATTTCAAAATTTATCGGTCCCAGCAGCAAGACCATTCAAGAATACCCTTCACGGTTCAGGTGATTTTACTTCTGCTTAATGAGGTTTTGAACCCTTCAGGCAAAGCTTTTGTGAGAGAAATGCCATATACGAGTATTTTCGTGCCAAAAAGTTTGTGATTTGTCTTTTTTTTTTGGACATTGAAGAAAAGAAGTACATTCTAACAGTCTGGATACGAGACAAGTCAGCCAGCAACATCAACTAAAGCACATACGCACTCGTGAAGCAAATCTTACAGGAAAGAAAGAGGACCCACTGTTATCTTACGTGGGAGTTCACTTTAGGGTTTTAATATAAATATGGGTAGTATTTATCATAATTATCACACCCGGCTAATCGCTAGGATGATAGATTTATTTGATTCTAAAAAGTTATTGCTTTAATTTTTTTAAATTAAACATTGTTTGGAGTAAAAATTAAAAAGTTCATGTTGGGACTAGGTTGGATTTTATTCACGTATAACTACGTCAGCTTTCAAATTGGTTTGAAATAAAACCTAACTTGGGCCAGGTTCGAGTGGGCAAGTTAACGGATCAATAGGCTTAGCTAAGTTTATTAACTGTAGTATTTATATAAAAAAAACAAGAAGACAGTAGAAAATCCTAAAATTTCTTTGTTAAATAATAATTTAAAAATAAAGGGTTTGTTTTTTGTTAAATAAAAACATGTGAGTCTTGAAGTGATTCATTTATGGTACTGTTATAAAAGAATTTAGGATGAATAATGGATTCGAATAACTAGCCGGCTAATGTTTACAGTTGACAGTAACCATTAAACACTGTTTATTAATAGATGCTAACGTTTTCCAATAATTAAACCTTTAATTTAATATTATATTAATATCACTGTTAAATCTAGCATATCTTCATCACTCATTGCATACATTTTATTGCTTCTAGCTACTATGTCGATTGTTATTGTTATTCTCAATAATTCATAATGTACAGGAGGGTAGCTAGGAACACAGAAGTGTGAGAGAAGGGCTTGACTACAAGTTAAGAGACCTTGACCATGCCCTAGATGCCTAGCTAGCTGGGCCCATAGATAGCCATGCAAGATATACAGTAGTCCTATAATGGAGGGAAAGGGAGAGGGACAGTGAAGTAAATTTAGAAGAAGCACCGAACAAGCAAAGGAAGATTTCCAAATTAAATGAAAAGAAATGGGTCACTGAAAAGGGAGCTGATAAGACAAGACAACCCCACGCTTGTCGGTCTTGCCCCCACAAGAAGACCCTACACCACACATGCATACACACACGCACGGTCTCTCATTATTTCATTTGCAGAGAGATTGATGATGATGATGGTGGTGCTGATGGTCTATGCCAGTGGTTGAGTTGACCCTTCGGCTTCTTCATATCATCATGATCACCCTCTCCCTCTTCCTCCCTCTTCGTTTCAAAAACTTCCTTCCATCTTGGCTTTTAAGGTTTACAATGTTCTCTCCATCGATTGATTGATCTATGTTTATAGCTTCTGCTTCTTGTCATTTTTTGCTTAGGGTTGTGTGTCTTTGTCTGTTCTTGGGGTCTTATGAACCATTAGATCCCATGTACAATAAGATTATACTTCTAGTATATACATACATACTAGTAGTTCTTTCTTTCTGTGCATCCCATGACAAACTATGAATGGTCAATATGTGACAACTTTGATTTTTTTCTTGTACTTGGATACCAGCTACCCCTTTTATATATGTTAAAAGTTTGGCCCACCATTAATGGAGTATTCACTTCTCATGAAATATGATAAGCTACTTGTTGCGTCGTACATTTTAGTTCAATTGATCATAAAAAGAGTTGATAGGATCAATGGCAGAACCAGAAATCTAGGATTAGAGAATAATTAAGAAAATATTTGATTTTTAGAGTACAGGACATGCATGATTGAAATGTATAATTGAAAGCCCTTTTAGGACTAAAATATAATTTTTTTAAAAGTTTAGAGTAGTTATCAGTCTTTATAATCAATTTATTTCAGTACTTGAATCATAATTTTTATATTTTATTCAAGTTTTATCTAATAATTAAATTAAATTTATTTATTTATTTATATTAAAATTATATTATTTTATTCTTTAAAAAATATTTTTTAATGTTGATCCAGTTGGATTTTTAGAGTACAGGACATGCATGATTGAAATGTATAATTGAAAGCTCTTTTAGGACTAAAATATAATTTTTTTAAAAGTTTAAAGTCATTATCCCGTCTTTATAATCAATATGTTTCGATACTTGAATCATAATTTTCATATTTTATTCAAGTTTCATTAAATAATTAAATAATTAAATTAAATTTATTTATTTATATTAAAATTACATTATTTTATTTTTTAAAAAATATTTCTTAATGTTGATCCGGTTAAGTTTAATTAGTTTAACTCATAGATTAATGGTCAATAAAATTTGATCAAATTAATTTTTTCTCCATCCAAATTAAAATCTAACTTGAAATAAATGTATTTCTAAGTTTTTTAAATAAATCCATTAAATCAGACTGAATTTAATAAGTATATAGGGAACATAATAAATGTGAACAAACAAAACCCTTGTTAGACCTCAATTGCAAATATAAAAGGGCTTATTTTTCTGAACAAGCAAGTATGCAATAAGAAATCATAAGTTGGGATGGTTTCCTTCAACAAATAAATCAAGGACGATAGTGTACGTTTTAATTACTTGAGTTTGATATTTAACCACATAATAGTTGGTACAAGGCCATAATCTTACCTTGGAATTCTTCGTACATTAGTTACCGTAGAATGGCTAGCTTAGGATTATAGGTTGGATCCCCTAAAAAATTGCCCATAAATATCAAACTCTTGTTCATGGGGGACCCATCTAGCTCAATGCCTTCCAACCGTAAAAACGTGGTCGTTTTTCATTAATGTTCACTAGTTAAGTTTTTCAAAAAGTTTTTAGTCTCTGTATTTTATTTTCCTTATAAATAACTCTTCAATTGGAACTTTTTTGGTACTCTTATTTTTACAACTACCTCTTATAGTTCTTATGGAAAAGTTTTTAAAATTAAGTCCAAGCACGTCAAAAATTCATTTTATAAATTAGGATTTTCTTTTCAGTTTTCTTTTCTATTTTTCTATTTATTGAATTAATTCGCTATTTTTTTTATTGAAAACATTTTTAAATTGATTTTTTTTTATTTTATCCTCATTGAGTCTTTTATCTTATTAAATTTGATTCTCAATCTTTTGATTTTGATTTTTTAACTTTGCAAAAATTTTAAATTAATATTTTTTTCTGATTTTATCCTTCAATATTAAATTGATTGAAAGTTAAATTTTATAATTGAGCCTGAGTTTAAGATTCTCATGGTTTGTGAGTTTGTGTGGTTAACCCATATTTAGAAGATTTGCTTTCTTCTCCTCTTTTTTCAAGCTCAAGTTTTTTTATTTTCATCATTCAATATTTATGTAATTGAAGATTGATCTATGTTATTTTTTTTCTTGTTTTCCATTGAAATTTTTAATAATTTTGAAAATAACCTAGGCTATCTTGGGTTTTTTAATTTGTCATTCTTTGTTAAATTTATCTTTCTTTAAAGAAATTTTGCTTTTGAATTAAATTAAATTAAATGATTAAATATAAATATAAGATTCTCACTTTATAATATTTTATTTAATTTATTTTTTGAATCGTTGCTCTAATTGTACATGCGACTTCTTTTGATGTCATCATGGAATCTTTTACAATAATTTTAAAATTGTTCTAGTGAGTTGTTTATGGTAGTAGAGTAGTGTATACAATGAAATAATGATGAGTTTACGATGAGTTTATTTTTCTTCTCTCTCTTGAGTATGATATTCAAAGGTCATTTTTTATAGTTAATTATTACTATTCTTTTGTTCCCTTTATTTATTGTTGATGTTTTTTTAAAATAATATTATTAAGTTAATTGAATTTAGTCAAGTTAATAACATGAATTTTAAATTTTTTTATTTTTGCAAAAACACTTACATCACCGATATTTTTTTTTGTATTATAAAAATTTAACTCGACCCACAACATAACACAAAAGGTATCTATTTAGTGATATCTAATTTTTTTTTTAAAGATTGAGACAATAATGCGGCAAGAATAGGTACAATGTTTAGTCAATCTTTTTATTCTTACCAAACTTATAATTCTATGATTGTTTTGTAGGTGCCATTAATTATAGTAAATACAATCACTTTCAAACAAGCCATTAACCTTAAGAAAGAAAGTTTAAATGGCTTGTTATACTCATCCATTCCAATCATTTTTCTGTTAAATAGGAGTCTAATCAATAAAGCCATCATAAAGTGAAAGTATCACCAGCTATATCACAGAGCAATCTAGCAAAAAAAGACTAAGAAAGTTGCAGTTCATCGGATACTAATCTCATCATCCAAGACTAATTCTACCCTAATTTTTGCGTGGGGTCTGAATAATTTCCTCTTAATTCCACTTTAAAGGTGCAAAATCCACTCATCGACAAGTCAAGCATCACAAGGAGATGATCTTAAAGAAGCTACTGATAATTACTTGGTACATTATGAGTGCTAATCAATCACTACCTTCTGTTCATTGCTCCTTAATTTGCTAGTGATTGTAAATTTGGTATTTTTAAGGGCCATTTTCACCATTTGATGTTTAAAAGTTCAATCATGATAATCATATTTTAAATCCCACCATTAATTTTGAATTAAATTATTTAAATTAAGTTAGAAAAATAGTAATAAGTAGTTAAATTAAGTGTTCTTATCATGCATTAAATATACTATTAAATTTGAATTTAATAGTTTAGATTTAATGAACGGGATGTAAAGATATATGTAAGATTCTAATATATAAATAGCCATCCGGTGAATTAAATAAGTTTTTGGTATTATGGTGTATGATTTTTTTTAATTGAAAATATATTAAAATAATATTTTTTTTATTTTTTATACCAGTATATTAAAACTATCCAAAAAAACCTAGAAAAATCAATTTGATGCTTTTCAAGATACTTTG